GAGGGGAGGGAGGGGGGAGGAAGAAAGGAAACCAGAAATCTCCAAGGTATTTAACAGTCAAACATCACACTCTGAAAGCACACACCGAAAGCAATGAAGCAATCTTACAAGTAATCAGCAAAGCAAAACAAAAACTATTTCCATAAAAAGTCAATTAGACAGTTGACTTCTCAACAGTAACAATAGAAATCATAAACATGGAAGTCAGGTACTTGAAAATATCTTAGTGGAAGGCAGACTAAAGACATTTGCAGATTAAAATAAAAGTGAGTGCAGGAGTTTGATGCTAACAAATCCATGCTAAGGAAAAATGGCACAAAATAAAATAAAAGATGGCTCTCTATTCAGTGATAGTCCATATCTGACCTGGAGGTCCTCTGGCAGAATGTCCAGGAAATGATTCAATACCCAGACCCACAGGGGCAGCCCTTTTGTGAACTCTTCTGGCACCCTTAGTCAATAAAAGCAAAGCTTTGAATTGGTTCAAAGCTTCTGCAGAACTGCCTTCTACTGGAGTGTCACTCTTAGGGCAACTGCTTCTCTGTGGGCTGTTTTCTGATGTCACACAAAATGGGTGTTTTGTTTCCCCAGTGTAAATACCTGAAACTTCCACGTTTGAATTAGGGGTGATCCAATTCAACTTATAACATCTCACTTTGCCACTTACATATGCGACTTTGGGCATGTTCTTAACATTGCTGCTCTTAGTTCCCTTCTCTGCAGAACCAAGACAATAATGATACCTTCCTCACAGGGTTTTGTGAGGACTGGCTGAATTAATGCAAACCATTTCACATAGGGCCTGGCACCTAGTAAGTACATTTATATGTTTACTATTATTATAATAATCAACTTTTAAAAAGTGATTGCTGTTTAAAGAGCCATCCAATTTCTATTTCTTTCACGTTGATCTTTTACATTACTAGAATTAGAGTGAAGAACAGGATCAACTTTAAAAGTTTGGGTTTCTAAATTATTTTATTTTGGCTCTTTTTTTTTTTCCCTTTTGTTTTTGAGAAAGGGTCTCCCTATAGCCCCAGCTAGCCTGGAACTTGTTATGTAGATCAGGCTGGCCCAGATCAGTATTGGGATTAAACTTGTGTGCTACCATGCCTGCCTAGCTCATTGGTTTTTAAAAAATATATAAATGGTATAAAATTAGGCCTCGAACTTAATAAGAGTATCACTAATTTTCTAGGGGAGATTTTGTTTAAAGCTTTCCTCAAGAACAAGGCCAAAATGTCAGATATTTGCCTCTATGTGGGTTTTCAAAGACAACCTCTGTTGAGGATGCATCACTTCTTGATTCTGCACTGTGCTGAGTGCTCTCTAAGCTCACTTCCTTTCTGGTGTAACTTCTGCTTCTAGCAGTTTCCTCAGTCCACACTGTTCCAAACATCTATGGTGGGTACCTAGAAGGCCCAGTGATCACTCTGGGAATCTTGGGCTTAGAGGATTTTTTCTTTCTTTTTCTTTTTTGCCTTTTATGTAACTCCACCACATGGCCAGGATCTCACTTCTTTTGTCTGGACAGTGGGGTTAAAAATGTTTCCCTGGTGGGTTTGAGATTGTGTATATGGAGCATTCACCCACCGTATGACACAGATCTGTGATATGTGGAAACTGTCATTAATTGACTAATGACATAAACAAGAGGAGGTGATACCTGAAAGCCATTGTTTTAGCCATTGTTCAGTCCTTTCAAAATCTCATGAATGAGTACTTAACCAGAGGGAAGATGAGCCCAATTTATGCTGTTGACATACACATTTTCCAGTAATACCTCCCCAGAATTTCCTCTTGATGAAGATGGTGGACCCAGAAGACATTTCTCTGTTTGCCTTTCTTCTTTACTTTCAGGTAATCCCCCAAATATACCACAGTTTCCTGAGCTGTCCACAGTTCAGAGTTTTTGGAATATTTTAGCAAAAGGGCATCTGGAAAAAACAAGACTATTTCTTTAAACCATTTTGAACAAGGCCTGACATCCAGTAAGAGCCTTTGCATGGTCACTGTGAACATTTACATGCTCACTGTAGGCTCCTGGCAACTCCAGGGATTCAAAGAGTGTCACAGATCATGGACACTGTTGATATGACACAGGTCTTAAACTGGCTCACCTGAAATGTTCAAGTTTTAATATATTCTCTCCTACTTTGGCCTTATCTGTAACTCTTATTAAAAAGTGAAACACAATGAAAATATAACACTTTATAAATGACAATGAAAAATAATTTTTGTCTTCTTTAGGATGGGAAGAGACTACCATAAGACTAGGGTTTCTGTATGGAAAAAGGTGGAAAATAAAGGGATTTAAAACAGCAAGACCTTTGAGATCACGTTGAGGTACATGGTATATACGTACAATTTCTTAAGATCTAGAAACAGCAGATAGTGGTTTCCTGCCTTTATCAGATCACACACACAAAAAAGGAAATAATTCTACTTTAGAGGTTCCTGGCAACTTTAGGGATTCTAGGCTGCATACTGAACAGCACTCTCACGTTCTCTTAATTGTTCTGAATTGGGAAAATTTAAGATTTTTGTCATAAAGTATAGTTATTGAAAAAGAAGAAGGAAAGAGATACTGTGTGATGCTGGATGTCAGCTTGACTGGATCTGGAATCAGCTGAAGCGTGAGAGACTTTCTTGATTTGCAGCCAGAAGATCCACCGTGAATGCAGGCAGTACCTTCTGGTGGCAGGTCATGTGAAAGGACATGGCGGGAGGGAGCATTTGCCTTTTGCCTTCTCTGTCACTGGTGAATTTATCTCTGTTGCTACTGTGGCACCCATTTGCCGATATTAGAACCAATGTCTTTGGATTCCAGTGTAGACTGAAAACTAACAGATCTCTAGGAATCCTCCAGGACTTTAGTGCCAGATTGGGGCTGCTGGGACATCCAGGCTTATGGACTGAGCAACTACCAAATTCTTAGTCTCCCAGTGTGGTGCAGCCATTGTTGGACTACTGGGACTATATCCTGTGAGCCAATCTAATAAATCTCAGTTCTTTCCTTTAGAGAGCACTGACTAATAGCGTCTGTCTCCAGAAAGAAAGGAAAGTACGAAGCAAGAAAGCATTTCCTATAGGGCAAAAGCCAACATGCTAAGAAAGAAATACAATGTTTTGGTATCCAAATTAAAATTCAGTGAACACGATTCTCCTGCGTCTGTGTGTGATAATGGACAATGAATAGAAGAAAGTATTTGAAATCCGCAGGTGTCGGAAGGGGCTGCCTATGGGCTAGTGAAGTTGGTGACCAGGTTGGGTGATGCAGAGCTGGAATGGAAATGGAAGGTACATTGGTCCCCACATGATGAATCAAGGAGGTCAATCCAGGGGAGAAGAAAGGAGGGAGCACATAGCTCATTCTATTTTTGAAACTTCGGGCCTATCCCATTCCTCCTGAGTTTTCATTCAAATTGGCACAAAATAACAATAAAAAATCATGGAGAAACTGTCTGTACCTAAGAACTGTGATTCTGAAATTTGGCATCTCACAGGAGGAAAATCTGTTATAGAAAAGTGATTTTCGTGGTGACGGTCTTATTGAATTTTGCTCTGACTTCAGGGTGGTAGGCAAAATTTTGGTATACCCTAAAGGAGAAATTCCCAACATCAGCTCTATATGGAATAACTGAGAAGTACCTAAAAATACTGATAGTTGGATCTGTAGAATTTGAAGGTGGAACAATTTCGAGAAACCTACATGGTCATTAAAAAGAAGTAAAGGAGTTAGATGCTGGCTGGCTGATTTGACATTCAAAGTTGTTTCAAAACCTGGATGATGGCTATACCCGAGTCTTCCGAGACTCCATGTCTTCCTTTCTGTCCCAGGTACCCTAACAGGTAAGGCAGTCTGAGATAGTCTATTTGCAGCCATTAAGGCCCATCACTCAAAAGTGAAGAGCTATGAAGATTACATTTCTCTGTGAACTCACAAAGCACATCTTTTGTGACCTTTGAATGGTTTGTCCAGCAAGCTTTTCCAAGGGTCCACAGTAGAAACTTCCCAAAGCCTGAAACCATCAGCTGAAAAGACTGTACTTACTGTGTGCTTGTTGGAGTAGACTGGGCTTAAAAGCGCCTGTATTCTCCAGTCTTTGAAGCAGCCAGTCGTGCCTCACTCCTGCCAGGAGTTTTTGAAAGTCATCAGGCTGCAGAATGCGAGCTTCAAGGATCTCTTGCCTGGACTGTCCTGGCAGTGAGACAAAAGAACTTCTGCTGGAATTCAGGAGAGACCATGAGCTTTCTCCCTCAGAGCTGCTGGAAAACGCCGCGGGGTTCAGCCGCCGCAGTGAGGACGAGCTGTTCTGACTGTGCTTCAGCATGCTTCCAAGTTGGTTTCCCTCCTCTGTGGTGGTACAGTCCTTGCTGAGGTCAACGAAGGGACTGTGAGCATGTAGAGAGGAACCTGGGCTCTCGGTTCTCTGACCTGGTTGCTGCCTCAGAGCACCGGGTCTATGAAAGCCACGTGGGCTAGTGGAGTAGAACTCTGAGCTGTCAAGCAGTCGTTCCCCTTCATCCACTGTAGAGGCATCAGGGTCGATGCTCTGATAGTTGACTGAGCTGCCAGTCTTTGCTGAATCAGGATTTTGAAGAGGCCAGTGAGGAGAGAAAGAGCTGCATGGCAACTCGGAACAGCGGCTTCCTAAACCTCCCATGACTACCTGGGAGTGTGACTGCACATCTGTGCTTTCTGCTGTTCCTCCTTCTGGGTCTGTACAGGCAGGGCTATTTGTAAACGCAGGGCCTGTGACTCTGTCACTGAATTCTTTTCCATGCTTTCCTCCATGCCCATTGCTGACGTCATAGTTGGTGTCTGGAAAATTACCAGTTTTTTCAAAGGTTTCTTCTTGGACTGAAGGATATGTGGCCATGTCCATGAGCTTACTCGAACCACATAAAGACCAAGAAGCAAAACTACACGAGGGACTTGAGTGAGTTGACATACTAGTTCCTGCGCTTCTAACTTCCTGGATTCCTTCCGGAGTTTCTTCTAACAGCCTGGCATCAGAGGCCGAGCAAGTGTTTGTTGTGTTGAAAGGAAGGCTGGGTACTGAAGACATGTGTTTGTGTAACTGACTTTGGGAAGATGCTAATTTGTGATCTTCAGTTGCCTGAAGAGAGACACTGTGGAGCTCTGAAGATGACAAACTGGTCTGCACAGCCCTGCAGTTTCTGTCGTTCTTTAGCTCCTCACACAGGCCAGTGGAACACTGAGTGCCCACAAGATATTTTTCTTGGCTAGATTCTTTTCTGGCTGACCTGCCCTGGACATGATGGTTCACTTCCTCCCAGCTTGTACAAGAACTGAGCATTGATAATTTGCTCCAAGTACTGGAACTCTGACTATCACTCAGAGACTTGCTTGAAACATCTGCCCTGTTATTGCTGTCCTGTGGTGGCTCAGCCTCAGTTTCTTTATCTTGATCTGAAGAGCCTTGAAATATGTCAGAACCAGTCCAGCATCTCCTAACCCTCCCCAGTTTCTCCTTCTTAGCCGTGTGGACGGAAAGCTTCTCCTTGCTTTCCTGAGAGCGTGGTTTCTCCTGAGTAGCACTCGTAGTGTCTATGGTGTTTGTTTCTGTTTTCAGAGTAGTGATACAGACTTTGGGTTTCATGTCTTTCTGTTTATTTTTGCTGTTTTCACAAATGTTTTCAAATATTTCACACACTGAAGTATGATGTTGTGAATAGGTTTCAAGAATTTTTTGGAAATCCAGTTGCCCGTGCAAGATAGGTTTATCCAACCTGCATTTGAAGCTTTCTGGAACATAAGATCTCTCATCCAAATTTGAGAAGCCTTGAACTTTTAAATGACCCTTCACCTGGCTGACAAGAGACATGATTTCCCGAGACAGGGTCTCTCTGTCTTGACTTGAGGAGGAAGTGCTGAAGGTATGCAGTTTCCCCATAGCTTTGATGCATAGCTGGCTTGCTGCACAGATTGCACCTGTCTCCCCCTGGAGTCTGCGGTGCACTGTGGCAAGCCCAAAAGCAGCTCTAATGAAGCTGTGTAGCTCTTGCTTCCCACTAGCCGGCTTGTCATCTTTCCTGGTCAGGAGGCCAATCTCAAAAGCCTCTTTGGCTTCACATAGATACATACTTTTCATTTCTGGAGGGCAGTCAGGAGAACTACTGTATGACAGTAAGCACGTGCCACGGATATTCTGTGGAAAACAGCAAATGCAAAATCAGATATTGCATCAGATACTGTAAATGTAGCAGAGCAAACTTTTAATTCCTAGACTATAATCATTTGAAAACATTACAGGAAAATAAGCACATGCCACAGATATTGTAAAGAAAGTTCACAAATGTTGAGTTGAAGACCTGAGTGTTTCTTGGTGAATGAGAAGGAATAAGGACGTGAGCCACTGGCTGGTATGAAGGGTAAGTTAACTATATTTCAAAATAAAAGATTTTGGGTTGCTAATCCAACAGATTTTCATTTAATGGACATAGGTTAGAGCCCAAGAATATGTACATTCTGAAAAGCTTCTTGGGTGATTCTCATATGCCAGGCTTAGATCCCCTTGTCCTGGAATACAACATTATATACTTGAACTAAAGTAACTTAGCTGCCACCAGGACACAGTCACTCTGACTAATACACTAGTCCCCAAGTGGAGTCTTATCACAGCTGCCAATGAAGAGCCCAGTGCCCGCTCCAACGTTAGACCTTTCCCTCTTTCTACATGCATCTGTACTTACCACAGCCGTGAGCACAAAGAGGGGTGTGTAGGCACTGTAGGCAGCTGCCAGTTTGCAGACTTCAGCTGCTGACAGCAAATGGTGGTCAAATTCCTTGAGCAAGCTCTGTGAAAAAACAGGATAGAAAGTGAAGCAGCAATTGCTATTGCTCTTAGCAAAATCAGGATGTGAAATTCCTTTGATTTTTGTTTCAGGATTCTGAGGGACACCTTCCTCTTCATCATGAACTGACCAAAACAATGCCAAGAAAGTCTCAGTGGGCTTAAAGATCCCAGAGTGTCCATTCCCCTAGGACTTTACACACCCATCCTGCATCCACAGCCTGGAAAGGGTCTAGCATGTGCAAATTTTACAGTGCCTGCCCAGGCAAAGCAAAACTGATGAGTCTCTCTGGAAAAATAGTGGAATTTCTTTGTTCACAGAAATTCTAAACATTTATTTTTCTCTAAAATGGGATTAATACATTCTGTTCTTTCTACCTCATAAAGTGTTGTCCTAGTTTGTCTCTCCATTGCTGTGACAAAACACTCTGACCAATATCAACTTGGGGAGGAAAGGGTTTATTTAGCTTACATGTCCTGGGTCATAGTTCATCTAGGAGTATGGTCGTTATGCTATCTCACATTACTACATGACTGAATAAAATCAACCCGACTGTTAGCATCCATTTTAGCCCAAGAAGGAACCCAAACTGCTCTGGGCACCTGTTTCTTCAGAATACTCTGAGAACCGTGCTCTTGAACAAAGGCATCACTCTCTCTTTTATTGAAACAGTATACCCAGCATGAAATAGAGAAGTAAAAGTGGACCCTTATCAGTGGATTTTGCCCCTTCTGACCCATACTGACCCTTAACAACACATACAACTACAAGCAGATGTTATCACTTTAATCCTATCTGCGGTTTGCAACACAAATGGAATGTTGCTTCCAAGGAATATTCACTGTTTGCTTGATATACATAACACACACACACACAGACACACACACACACACACACACACACACACTCAAATGTTCTGGATCAAGGACAAAGAAAGGTCATGAATTAAAGCTATATACTTTATGCTACAAGAGGAGCTTAAGGCCTAGTAGGCTTGTCTACATTGTAAACAAGCTAAGATAAGGTTAAGTTGTTGGCTGTAAGGTTAAGTAAAAGAAATTTATCCAGAGCACATCCATATTATGAAAGCCATTCCCACAATGGAGCAAATGTTTACTGTTCTGATTTTAACAGATAAATTTTTATTTATTGTGTGTACATATTCCTGCTTATATAGGGCATGTGTGTGCAGGGGTGTGTGTATGTGTGTGTGTGTGTGTCGTGTGTGTGTATGTGTGTGGTGTGTATGTGTGTGTGTATGTGTGTGTCATGTGTGTATGTGTGTATGTGTGTTGTGTGTATGTGTGTCGTGTGTGCGTGTGTGTATATGTGTGTGTGTATGTGTGTGGTGTGTATGTGTATGTGTGTGTGTGTCGTCGTGTGTATGTGTATTTGTGTGTGTGTCGTGTGTGTGCATGTGTGTCGTGTGTATGTGTGTATGTGTGTATGTGTGTGGTGTGTGTGTCATGTGTGCGTATGTGTGTGCATGCGTGTGTGTGGTGTGTGTATGTGTGTGGTGTGTGTGTGGTGTGTGTATGTGTGTGTGTACATGTGTGTATGTGTGTGCGTACGTGTGTGTACGTGTGTGTATGTGTATGTGTGTGTCATGTGTATGTGTGTGGTGTGTATGTATGTGCGTGTATGTGTGTGTATGTGTCGTGTGTGTGTGTATGTGTCGTATGTGTGTGTATGTATGTGTGTTATGTATGTGTGTCGTGTGTGCCTGTGTGTATATGTGTGTATGTGTGTGTGTGTGTGGTGTGTGTATGTGTATGTGTGTGTGTCTGGTATGTGTGTCATGTGTATGTGTGTGTATGTGTGTGTGGTGTGTATGTGCGTGTGTGTGCGTGTGTGTATGTGTAGTGTGTGTGTTGTGTATGTGTGTCGTATGTGTATGTGTGTGTGTATGTGTGTGTGTGTGCGTGTGTGTATGTGTGTGTGTGTGTGTGTGTGTGTGTGTGTGGGTGTGTATGTGTGTGTGTGTGTGTGTGTGTGTGTGTGTGGGTGTGTATGTGTGTGTGTGTGTGTGTGTGTGTGTGTAGGCCAGAGATCAACCTTGGTGTCATTCCTCAGGAATTGTCCACTTTATTTTTTTGAGACAGGGTCTCTTACTGGGACCTAGAGCTCACAGATTCAGCTAGACTGGTTGGCCAGCAAGCTTCAAGGATCCTCATGTCTCTCCAGCACTGGGACACAGACATGTGTGATCCTGCCCTGCTTTTGCTGTGGACCAAACTCATGTCCTCAGGCTTATATGGAAAGCACTTCACCAAATGAGCTATCTCCCTCCTTTCCCTAGTGTTTTTTAAATTATCACCCATTTATCAGTAAATTTAGACACTGAATTTTGCAACAGTTTGAAAGGAAATAAAAAGCACTGAAAATCACTCTGATGATGTTCATTTATTCCTTTAACTGAACATTTTTGCGTGTTTTGTATAGCTGATTCTTAGGAGCTCAGATAACAAAGATAAACAGAACCCCATGGGAGCTATTCCCATTGATCTAAGATGAGAGACTGTGCACTTGACCTCTGTGGAACCAACACCAAGAACAGCATTGACAAGTATCTAGGTGATACCACTCAGAAACATGCCTTTGACATAGGATCATTACCAAGTTAATCTGTGGGTTATTTTTAAACTTTTCATAATCTTTCTTGCTCATAGAAGCAAAGATGTCTGCCAGGATACCTAGTGATGTGGAAATGCCCTGCAAGGAAAACACAAACAAATCAGACTGGAATTTTTCCATCTCAAGGCCCTCCATATGAACCATCTGCTAATTATTATCTATATGTATGACACTGGAGATACTTGTGAAGTGAACATCTTTAGGTTTGAGACAACATCACATCCCAAGGCACATGGACCAATAGCATTCACAGCTTCTTCTCAGGTGAGCTTCACTCAGTTGTCAGTATTAACTTGTCCTTACTGCTAGTCCTGAATAACTGGCCAGGGAAGATCTCACACTACTCTTGATCTGTGCTGTGGAGGAGTATAGGCAGTATAGGCTGATGACATACCTCTGGCACATAGAATAAATAACCTGAGGCTTCAGATAATGAGAAGATATTCCTACAAAATTATAGAGAATGAAACTGTAAAGTAGGAATGCACATCCCCCACCCCCTATTTTGCGACAGGGTCTTACCATATAGCCATAATTGGGCTAAATTCAATATGTATAACAAGCTGGACTTGAAGTCACAGAGATCTACCTGCCTCTGCCTCCCAAGTGCTAGGATTAAAGATGTGCACTAGCACACCCAGCCCAGCCTTAATATATTAAAGATGTGACATAAACAATTAACAGAAGTTTTTGTCCACTCTAGGAAAATTATTTTACACACCAGTATATTGGCTATCTCAGCTTTGCCATGGCGTTAAGGGCTAAATACGTGATAAAACAGACATAGTAGAGCAGAAGAGCTAAGTGTATGAATAGTTACAGAAACCATAGATAGATGTGAAGAGTCTGTTACAGAGAAGGAAGGTACTAAATGTTCCTGGTCCTTTGCTCATAGAGAACAGATGGAATGATAAGTGACAAACTCAGTTGTTCCTTAAAGAGGTAACCCTGCCAAGAAGCAAGAGGATGAGGAAGCAGGAGCACAAGGCACACAACCTTCTTATCTGGCTGAGGGAGGGTCAAGTATCCTATGACTGAGGCCCATATTAACTCTGCTGCCTCACACCACATGCCTGAAAAAGAAAAGAATAGGGTAGACTATTAGCAGCTCTGCTTTTGTGTTGAAAAATATAATAATTAGAAAGGAATTAGAAAACTAATACATTAGGAAAAGTCATTGGATCCTGTAGGAAAGCTCAGTCTAGATTAGACTGACACAGCAATTTGTTTTCTCCCTTTGGTTGAGTACAATTTTTCCATTTCATGGAGGAACAGTAAGATTTTATATTCTGCATCTACTGTATATTATACACAGTCATTTCCATGATTTATAAGAATGATATTTACCACCTTCTTTTTTTAAAAAAACTATTTTATTTTATATGTGTATTTTACCTGCAAGTATGTATGTGGACCATGTATGTATGTGCCTGGTATCTACAGAGGCCAGAAAAGGGCATCAGATCATCTGGGGCTGGAGTTACAAGTGGTTGTGAGCCACCATGTGGGTGATGGGAACCAAACTCAGGTCTTCTGCAAGACTAGGAAGTGCTCTTAACCACTGAGCCTCCTCTCCAGCCCCTAGTTGTTATCTTCTATTAAAAGGTTCAAGTCAGTCATGGTGGAGCATGCACCTTTAATCAGCACTCGAGAGGCAATTGCAGGTGGATCTCTGTGAGTTCAAGGCTATTCTGGTCTACATAGTGAGTTCCAGGCCAAATGGGGCTACAGGGAGACCCTGTCTCAAAAAAAAAAAAAAAAAAGAAAAAGAAAAAAATCAAACTCTTGGGCTGGCAAGATGGCTCAGTAGTTAAGAGCATTGGCTGCTCCTGCAGAGGAGGAGCCAGGTCTGATCCCCAGCACCCACAGGGCAGCTAACAACCATGCACAACTCCAGTTCAGGAGATCCAGCACCCTCTTCTGGCCTCTGTGGCCATTGTATGCACAATGCACTTAACACACATGCAGGTGACACACATATACGTAAAATAAAAATAAATAAATAAATAAAAAAAAATATTTAAAATGCTTTAGTTTTCACTTTTAAGTCTAACCAGGGTTTGAAAACTTTGCTTGAAAAATCTGTGAATGTGCCAAGATCCTGTTGGACTAAACCAGAAGCTAGAATACTGAGGCCCCTACAGCTAACAGCCACGGTTTACACCTGCAAATATATCTTAACAAAATTCAGCAGAGAAAATGTTTTCTCTCTTATTAATACTATTAACACTTATAGAATATTTTTTTGGCTTGGGGTCTCACTGTGTTACCCAGGCTGGTCTCAGCTCCCGGAGTCACCATGCCCAGCTCAGTTCCTGGTATCTTAGATGTCATTTTCCTCTCAATGAGACAACTAAGGGAAGTGGGATGAGACAATTTTAGCCATCATAAGAAAATTCCATAGTGAAATCTTGTAGCCAGCTTCTGTACATGAGCTTTGCAAAGAATGGGTGATTGACGCCAGTACCTAGTTTTTGCAGGATTTGCCCTCTGATCTGTATACAGACTGACTGCACCAGGACCCTGTCACTTTCATTTCTGTACAGCCAGGTACCTAAAATAAAAGGAAAGATATTTCCTGGAGTTATTAAGGAAATGACCTGGTAAAATCAACCTATTTTCACAGAAGTCTTCATGAACACACATGACTTAGATTTGAGAGACAGTCTAGTCACCATGGCTCCATGGGTATTGGCTTCCATCTGGTCTCTAGCTTTTTTTTTTTAAAAACCAGTGGTGGCCTATTCCCAATGGCTTCATTTGTGTCTCTCTTACTTTGTGTATCTGTACTCTTGGCACCCCTACCTGGTATTATCAATTGCCTCAGTGAGTAGCAAAAGGAAAGAAGATGGGGCCGAAGGCTGTCAGTGGTTAAAAATAGTAAGGCTATTCATTATTCTCTGTGACACTGCACTGTTTCCTTTCTTGTTCTGATATATGTATGTGTTTATGTATTTGTGTGTAGGGCATATGTATGCATATGTGTAAGGTATGTGTTTGTGTGTAGGATTGTGTTTAAAGTGTTGGGTGTAGGATGTGTCTGTTTGCATGTAGGTCATGTGTGTGTCTGTGGGTTTGTAGGACATGCAGGGTGTAGAAGACAGCAAATGTGAACACGGTAGCTTTGTGTTGATCACACATGAAGGGGATGTGGTGAACACCTATATTCTAGCTCATCTTCCTCCTAGAGATGTCCATGGATTTCAAGGACCACAAGACTATACAACTAATCCCACTGAGCTCAAAAGTCCACTGGAAATTATACTCAACATTTTGGAAAACTTTCTGATTATCTCAGAAATTTCAACAAAATCTCTGAACATTCAAACAATTTGTTAAATGACAATTACCATTTCTTTCTTTCATGAGACTGAATATCAAAGGAAATAAATTTCAAAAATAACCTTTAAAAAGGCTATGGAACAAAAATTTCCAAACCCTTTAGATGTATGAAGCCATAAGCATGTTCTTCTGAACAAAGAGGCTTCACACCCCCATCCCACCCCATGATTTTCTCAGATTGTAGCTGATCCTTCACTGAAGCCCACAAACTACTTGCTGTAACAGTTGTTGTGTATTAGATAACATACTTTACAGCTTTTGTTTTGTTTTTGAATTTAGAAAAACAGAAACAGAAAGCAGTAAGATGCTTGACTGAAATCTCTTCACTCTTCAATGTGGAACCAATCCCAGGTAGTTCTGGGAGTGTCAAACATACAATGACCATAATG